GCTGAGGGCATAAAGTAGCGGTTTTGATTACTCTAGCATGCTAGGGCGCACTCCTAATTATAAACACAGGTCTACTGTAAAGGTTTATAGGGAATCTATGCTAGATACCCCCTAACCATTTTAAATGCATATTCATTACAAATATAACTCCTCTGGTGAGATATTGCGCCGCGCTAACACACTAAAGTAGCCAGATTGTTCACGGCTGGTATACGCAGCGGGACGCTTACATGCAAAGTTTCCTCTTATTTCTTAAATTATGTCTACTGATGAAATGTTATTTTATATAAACCTATTGCTAGGATAATCCTCTCATTTTAAATGCAAAATCTTTGCAAAATACGATTTCTCTCGAAGATAATGCGCATCGCGCGCGCACCGTGTTAGGCGTGCAGTGCCGTCTGAGCCAAACTTCATAATATAGCTTGCTGCGGGGAGAGGGGATGGGGAGACTGAGGAAAGGAGGCAGGGAAGATTAGGTGCGGGCGGTAGAAGAAGAAGGAGCTGAGCGAGGGGACAGGGGAGGCAAGCGGAAGGACGCGAGGCAAAAGTAGGTGTTTTGTTACCCTACATGCTAGGGCGCACTCCTAATTATAAACACAGGTCTACTGTTAAAAGTTTATTAGGGAAATCTATGCTGAGATACCCCATAACCATTTTAAATGCATATTCATCACAAAATATAATGTAACGACGCAGTTGACGTTACCCGTTTCAATGTAGATTAGTTGTAGCGATGAATAATGAAACTCCAAACTCCAAGCAGTTCTGTTCAGCAAATAGTATATTGTTTCTCGACCCACATGCGCTCGCACAGAGGCACGCAACCGCGTGCCTCGCACACTCAAGTCCGACCACCTTCACAACCAAGAACCTTCCCTTTATACATTTCTAGATAACAAAGGACGTCGCGCGCGCCCGGACAACCACACCCGCTGCCCACATGTACAACAACTCCATCTCAACTGTTTCTCATCTCCATCATCTATACTACATCAAACGCATTCACGCAAATCATTATGCAACCACTTGTCGCGACATTTCTAAACACAACTACTATTTCTACCATCTGCAAACCATACTTTACATTACCTTCTTTTCCTCCAAGACGATGGCTTCTATAAGCCATCGACTTTAGCGACCTCGCTAATCTAAAATACACCCTAATCTTAATCCACCCTACGTACACACCCATGCACACTTACATCCTACATACACACACGCACACACACGCGCGTATTGTTTCTCAACCCACACGCACTCGCACAGAAGCACGACATTTCTAAACACAACTACTATTTCTACCATCTGCAAACCATACTTTACAATAACTCCTCTGGTGAGATATTGCGCATGCGCTAACACACTAACGTAGCCAGATTGTGTACTGGCTGGTATACGCAGCCGGGACCATACATGCAACGTCTTCCTCCTATTTCTTAAATGATGTCTACAGATGGAATGTTATTATAAAAATCGATGCTAGGATAACTCCTCTTCATTTTAAATGCCATAATCTTTGCAAAATACGATTACTCTCGGGAGATATTGCGCATGCGCGCGCACCGTGTTAGGCGTGCAGTGCCGTCCGAGGCAAACATCATAATATAGCATGTTGAGGGAGAGAGGTAATGGGAGACTGGGGAAATGCAGTAGGGAAGATAGCGAAGGGCGGTAGAAGAAGAAGGAGGCTGACCGAGGGGCAGGGGAGGCAAGGGGAAGGACGCGAGAGCATAAAGTAGGTGTTTTGTATTACCCTACATGCTAGGGCGCTCTCATAATTATAAACACAGGTCTACTGGTAAAAGTTTATTAAGGAAATCTATGCTGAGATACCCCCTAACCATTTTAAATGCATATTTATCACAAAATATAACTCCTCTGGTGAGATATTGCGCATGGGCTAACACACTAACGTAGCCAGATTGTGTACTGGCTGGTATACGCAGGTAACGCAGCTGGGACCTTACATGCAAGGTCTTCCTCTCATTTCTTAAATGATGTCTACTGATGGAATGTTATTATATAAACCTATGCTAGGATAACTCCTCTTCATTTTAAATGCAAAATCTTTGCAAAATACGAGTTCTCTCGGGAGATATTTCGCATGCGCGCGCACCGTGTTAGGCGTGCAGTGCCGTCTGAGCCAAACTTTATAATATAGCTTGCTGAGGGGTGAGGGGATGGGAGACTAAGGAAATGCGGCAGGGAAGATAGGTGGGGCGGTAGAAGAAGAAGGAGGCTGAGCGAAAGACAGGGGAGACAAGGGGAAGGACGCAAGGGCATAAAGTAGGTGTTTTGTATTACCCTACATGCTAGGGCGCTCTCATAATTATAAACACAGGTCTACTGATAAACGTTTATTATGGAAATCTATGCTGAGATATCCTCTAACCATGTTAAATGCATATTCATCACAAAATATAGCTCCTCTGGTGAGATATTGCGCATGTGCTAACACACTAACGTAGTGAGATTGTGTACTGGCTGGTATACGCAGCCGGAACCTTACATGCAAGGTCTTCCTCTTATTTCTTAAATGATGCCTACAAATAGAATGTTATCACATAGATCTATGCTAGGATAACTCCTCTTCATTTTAAATACATAATCTTTGCAAAATAATATTTCTCTCGGAAGATATTGCGCATGCGCGCACCGTGTTAGGCGTGCAGTTCCAACCTTTATGATATAGCTTGCTGAAGGAGAGAGGGGATGGGCGACTGAGGAAAGGCTCCAGGAAGATAGCTGAGGGCGGTAGAAGAAGGAGGCTGAGCGAGGGACAGGGGAAGGACGCGAGGGCATACATATAGGTGTTTTGTACCCTACATGCTAAGGCGCTCTCCTAATTATAAACACAGGTCTACTGATAAAGGTTTATTATATTAGGGAAATTATTATATTAGGGAAATCCATGCAGAGGTACCTTCTAACCATTTTAAATGCATATTCATTACAAAATATAACTCCTCTTGTGAGATATTGCGCATGCGCTAACAAACGAACTTAGCCAGATTGTGTACTGGCCAGATTGTGTTGGGCAAGAGGTCGCCGACGTGTCCGCGCCCTATTTCTGTACATCGGTATAGCAAGGCCCTTCTGCAGAGCAGTGCCACCACATTGAAGTACAAGTGGGCAATTTTCTATGCGCACCTTCTGTAGGCATGCCACACTCCAGATTAAATGCTTAACATTTGCCCTACGTCATTTTCTTTGGGCGACAAGTCGCCGACGTGCACAATTTCTACAAACCTTCGTTTTAGTTTACAGATACTGGGCATGCGCAAACCTGCAGTGTAGTAGGCGGGCCAGTCGTGAAAAATTTATAGTGGTGGGTGAATGGATAAATATATTTTAGAGTTTTTATTCACTCATGGTGATATATATATATATATTATAGCACGTGTACTACATACAAATTAAAATTAAAATTAAAATTAAAATAAAGTTTATTGCACAGATAATCGTAGATCATACAGGCAAATATGCTACAAACTACAATAAAACAAATTCCTAGGCTAATAAAAACATACTACTAAATAAATACATACGCACGTTCCTATGAAATGGTGGGGGGTACGTCCGCCCACCCCTCCTCGGAAAAATGCAGGGTGCCACCTCGGCAGCGCCGCCGCTATATCAATTTAAATATGGGCGCATACATCCCGTGTTAGGTGTGTGTTATTATACATGATTTATATTATAGTTATTGTTATGTTGTAGGTCCTTGTTATTAGTACATATGATAGGACCGTTGGAAGAGAGTATACATTTTCCTGTGGTTGAGCGGAGTGGTGGATAGGTGGAGCTAGTACTTCTCCGTGTGTGCATAACACTAACAGTAACACTAACACTAACAGTAACACTACAGTAACAAGTAAATACTAACACTAACAGTGTCAGTATTCAGTAGCTCTAGAACTAGTATAGGCTATAGCCCTCCGCTCCACAGGCAATTGGACCGTTTCAATAATAAAATGATGGTTAATAAATACAACTTGTCAGTACTACTACTACTAGACCTACCAGTACCAGTACCAGTAATAGTCTTAATGTTTGATTTGACCTAATATAATAACTTCACTTCAACTCCGTCCAATACACCGCTGCAACACATAGCGCGCACCACAGGCACTTGAAGCGTTTCAACTGTAAACACACGCCGCCGCCACTGCGCGCACACTGACACATAAATATATAGCAGGTGAGAAAGCGCGATCCCAAAAATTCGCTCGACGCTCGCTGCATTTCTCACGATTTCAACACAAATACACATCCAACAGCTTCCATGTTTGTTTCTCCTTCAAGTACAGTGTTCACTTGTTATAAAAACATAATGTCTCTGTTCGTAACCGAGCTGTTTCACGCGAAATCACACAAAGACTGACGAAATTCTCGCGTTCGCTAGCACTGCGCACGGATGTTAACAAACTTTCGCCCATGGTTAAAGGCGGCGAAAGTTCGTTAACATCCGTGCGCAGTCGCGCTTTCTCACCTGCTATATATTTATGTGTCAGTGTGCGCGCAATGGCGGCGGCGTGTGTTTACAGTTGAAACGCTTTGAAGTGCCTGTGGCGCGCACGCCATTGTGTATGCACAAATACACAGTGATATAGAGTGATACACACTCTGTGTTCTCCCTTTACTTGAACTTCTGACCTGTTTGACTTTATTATTTATTTATTTAATGAGGGTGCATTCTTCTAAAGTCACATGGAAAATCACTAGGAACGATTTGTTACATCAATTTACAGCGGGTTGGGGATACCAGTAGCCATGGTATTAGAAAATACATGTCACTGAGAACAAGACTTCCATGCTTAGCAAATATTAGATTTCACAACAGAAAACATGAAACCCAGAGCAACTGTAGATAAATTAGCCATTCTTAATGTGATCAATGCTGTATTTACATTGACTCTGTCACTCAGATTAGCTCTACCTATGTGGCTCTTAACTCTGCCATAGGCACCTGTGGTGAAGTGCTACACATGTCGATTTAGACTTAGATATGCTATATGTTATAGAATTGCACGATGTCTACCCGTTATAACTAACTGGTTTTTCCTGGACAGGTCACAAAGGATCCAATTGGCTCAAGTTCATCAGGGTGGAAGCTGTCACCTAGGTACACCTAAGAAAGGCAAGTTGTTTTGGTCCACAGAGATTTTGAATAATTTCACGTGAAACCCCGCGCTGGTGATGAATCGTCGCGTTGCGTGCGCGGCCGTCCTGCTGCTCGCGCTCGCTTGCTGCACGTCGGCGTCGGACGGCGACGGCTCGCCCGTCTTCTTCCGCTGCGTGCGCGCGTGCGTCGGCGGCGTCTGCAATGGCACGGCGGCGCTGGAGCGCTTCCGCGATCAACAGGGCTTCTTCGACCGCGCGACGGCGTGGGACTGCGACGACGAGTGCCGCTACGCGTGCATGTGGACGACGGTGGCGGCGTTCCGCGACGGCGGCTACGGGGTGCCGCAGTTCTACGGCAAGTGGCCGTTCACGAAGTGGCTCGGCATGCAGGAGCCGGCGTCGGCCATCTTCTCGGCGCTCAACCTGCTCACGCACCTCGGCATGTACGTCGAGTTCCGGCGGCGCGTGCGAGCCGCCGCGCCCATGTTCAGCGTCTGGTCGGGCTACGCGGCGTTCGCCGTCAACGCGTGGGCGTGGTCGACGGTGTTCCACACGCGCGACTACCGCCTCACCGAGATGCTCGACTACTTCTGCGCCGTCTTGGGCGTGCTGTACTCGTTCTTCGGGCTGTGCGTGCGCGTGCTCGGCACGGACCGGTGGTGGAAGCCCGCGGTGCCCGGCGTCGCGATCCTCCTCTTCTTCGTCTACCACGTGCACTATCTCGCGTTCATCAAGTTCGACTACGGTTACAACATGCGGGCAAACATCGCCGTCGGCATGGTGAACTCGGTCGGCTGGCTCGTGTGGTTTCTGTTCAAGCGGAAGACGCTGCCGCACGCGTACAAGGTGGCGCTGACCGTCGTGTTGGTGAACCTGCTGCTGATCTTAGAGCTGGGTGATTTCCCACCGTTGTTGTGGACGTTCGACGCCCACTCGCTGTGGCATCTCGGCACGGCTCCACTGCCGTTCCTGCTTTACAGTTTCTTTATCGACGACTGCAACTTTCTGCTCGATGCGAAAGAGAAGTTGAAGTTCCCATGAGGTGTATGATCACGTAATTGCACTGCGTTGTAGATGTAACTGTGGTGTCGTTTAAATTTGCTGCACATCCACTTATTTTTCTACGTTGTTGTGTGCAATATAGCGGCATATATATCAGGAGTAGATAATAGGGAAGGAGTGTGTTTTTGCGGTTGGCGTGCGTGTGTGGTATGGGGCATGCCAGCTGTATGCCGGCATGCCGGTATGTAGCTGTGTACCGGGTCAAAGGTTATCTCGCCGAGTGTTGCGTTGATGCCTAATCTCCCAGCGAGCCACATTGCCCTCCGAGTTAGCAATAGCGCGTTAGTAGCTGCCTTTTGTTTCAAATTCGTCTCTGAACGCATCGATTTTGCTGGCTAGAGAATGGAAAATCGTGTCGTACGTTTTAGTCTATATCTCCGGATTGCGGGTGTATACGAGAAAACGATTTCGCACGATGCTAGGCGAATGTACTGTGTACGATTTGTGCTCAAGTTGGTTGCGTTACGCGTAGTAAATCGTAGGTATTTTAAGGCTAGTAAATGACGAATTTCCCTTGTTTATTGATGTCACACTCCTTCCCTATTATCTACTCCTGATATATATGTATCGCTTGTGTAATTATAGTGATTTTGTAAGTATGCAAGGTCGTTATCTTATCGTGGTATCTCTAAATTTGTGGGATGCTACGTTATGTGGTTGCAATATAAATATGATACTTGTGATTTTATCTGTCTGTAAAATTGTAGGCAGTTTATTTAGAAATAAGCAATCTTGCTAATAAATAAATTATAATATACTGATGTAGTGCACACTGTCCAGTGCACATGGCATCCCATAGGGTCCAATTGTAAAAATACTTTCAGAGCAAGGAACCATTGAGGTGCTATTTGGGACGAAGTCACAACTAAACTTAGATATTATACAAGTTTCAGTGTTACATACTTGAGCTTCAGTTAAGCATGTTCAGGCTCAATTAAATTTACTGTTGGAATTTAACTATAAAACAGAAAAGTGAATGCATTCCATCATCGATTCTTGCACGATAGTTACAAGGCATATTTAGTTATGCCAAAGGGAAGGCTCTCTCTTCTTCATTATGTCTAATGTTCCTTAAAGGCATACTAGGCCCATTGATTATGCAATGTTGACGATTGCTAGAGTAACGGGTACCTTGTGTAGTTCATAAGTACATTACCTTATAGCCAAACGCGTATTAGTTTGTCCAATATCACTGCTGGTTACTAAGAAATGTCTAATTGAAATCTGCAGTCCAAGAAATGTTTACAGTTTACAGTCAGTTCACTTTCAAATCGCTGCCAGCGAAGTGGGTGTGATACAGATTTATAGTGCACCGGACATTTTCGCACGCATGATCGGCCGTACGCAATGCTATCATCAGTGATTTCGTAAACACGGATGCTCGTGATAAGGAACTTTTTGTCAGGGCTGTCCATGTGCGTCCGTGATTAGTAAGTGTGTTTTTCTCCATTTCCATGTTTAGTCCGTGGCTGTGGTTACACAACTGACACCTCTATTTCATCTGGCGTCCAAAACATACGGGCCGCACAAATGTTTACGTCATCGGTGACTTATCGCTCGACTCCTGGATGACATTTACGGCACGTAAATGAATATCAACAACCGATTTCAAGTCTTGCTTATAATTTAACCAGCAGTGATATTGGACAAACTAATACGCGTTTGGCTATAAGGTAATGTACTTATTAACTACACACGGTGCCAGTTACTCTAGCATTCGTCAACATTGCATAATCAATGGGCCTAGTATGCCTTTAAGTTGTGACTCCATTCTAACGAATATCACCCTGGTAGTGTTTTATAGAGTACTGTTCTTGTCTATGATAATTTACAGTTTTGTATTCTTGTGACAGTTGTTTTTAAGCATGTTATTTATTGTTGATTGTAAAAACCCACCAATTTCTAAAAAAAGATGACATTTAAAAAAATAAATTTCCTCTGAATTGTTGAAGTGTTTTGTATTGACGTTTAAATTAGCATACTTAAATCATATATTTATCAATACAAGTAACAAAATATCAACTTCATGCAGCTGTATTTATATGTCATATGTACCAGTCACTGTATTGATTTTGTGTTATGGAAAGTGAATAGCGTTGACATGTATGGCATATCTATATGATTTTTTTTTAGAAGGGAGCTGGTGTGATTTTACTGCGATCAGCATACATCTAACATGGAAGAAGAATCGGTTTCCCCAAAGGAGGCAAAAAGGTCGCAGAAGAGAAAGCACAGAGAAGGGGAAAACTCGCCAACTTCTGGGAAGAGACAACTTTGTGAGCAGTCTACCAATGTTAGCAATACAGGCGATGGAGGTGAAACCACAGAGGAACGTCACAGGCATGCGAAGAAGTCAAAGAAGGGAAACAGTGTTGTAGAAGGGACTGTTACAGGAGACAAACTTATAAAGCAGTCAAAGAAGCATAAGAAAGAACACAGCACTTTAGTTTCATTAGAAGTTGCATCAGGTGATACTATCCCTGAGAAATCCGAAGCTGCATCTAGTAAGGGAAAACATCACAGCAAGAAGGATAGACATAAGAGGGAAGTACAAGAAGGAGGAACAGCTGGTGATTCAGTCGGTGCAACTTTGCCACAGAAAGACTCAAATAAGAAACATCTGAAGAAAGCAATAAAAAAAAACAGCAGTCTTTCCAAAGATGCCAAACTTAATACACCTTCAGATAAAATCTCATCAGTTAATGGAAATAAGGAGAAAACTGCACAGGAAGAGGAGGAGTTGGAGAAAGAGAAGATAAGAGAAAAGAAAAGGCAAAAACGAAAACTGAAGAAACAACTGAAAGCGGAAGAAAAGGAAAAGGAAAAGGCTAAAGAAGGTAGTACTGGCATACCAATTACAAACAGATTTTCGTGAATGTTTTTTTAACACCAAAACTAATAGGTTAAGAAAACAATTTGCGATATTTAGATACAATGAAATAGCTGAGCAGTAACATGCTTTTAATTACCCAGAATGATCAGAATTTATCAGAATGATTCCTTCAGAGATCTTGATCAGCTTACTTGAAAATGCTCTTTTCATCACTAATGCATTACAGGTCAAGGTGAACCACTAGCCATAGAGTACTTGAAGTCATTCACCTCAGACAAGGCAAAGTGGAAGTTCTGCAAAGTTCGACAGATCTGGTTGCTACAGCACATGTATGATGTCGATAAGGTATAACTATGTGAAGCACCACGCAACTTTACGGAGGTTGCACACATATATAATTAGTTTCTGATAATATAATGAACACCGAAAGCAAGTAAAACTAACTAGGTACGAGTAGGTGTATATAAGTTAAAAAAAATTTAAGTTATGCATGTAATGAACAGCTTCTGTCATGGCAGACAGCTGCAGTCTGCTGTGAACAAGGTTGAAATTGAGAGGAAATGTGATTGTTCTCAACCAATAGCTGTCGGGAAGCGACTTTGCTCTACTGCTGGAATACCTGGAAGACTTAAAAGGTCAGGCAAGGTCCAGGACCGCAGAGGAGGCTGAGACTATGCTACGCTCACTGGACCAGGAACCGGAGACAACCGGGGAGAACGAAGCTGTAGGTGTGAAAAAAGGTAGGCCATCATGTAATGATATTGCCCTATCACGCAACATTGCGAACAGGGAGACGGGATAGACTATGCTGGTGGTTACGCAGAATTAACCAGCTCCTCTATAACTATGTAAAAAAACAGCATAACTATAACTATATAAACGGTCTTTAGATCAGCATGTCAGCACGAAAGAGATGGTAGTAAGGCAGCAGCACCACTGCTTATCTGTGTGCTAGTTTATCATAAATTAAATGTCGCCGAGCATGTTTCAGGGGAGTACGAGTAACATTGCTGTTTTTTACTGTTTTGTTCAATGCTAAGTATGTTTTTTTTGTTCTTTCAGAAGAAAGTAAGTGGACAGATGAACAGTTGGACCGAGCCAGACAGATTGTACAGCTCTTATCGTGACTACTTGTATACACAGATCTGTTGCCATTTGTGGTAGATCGATGACCATGTATCTTAATAAAGTTACATTTTTTGATTTTATCTAACCATTCTTAACGAAATTGTTTATTCTATTTTGGCATTCTTTCATCGATTCCCTGGTTAGCTGCCTAAAGGTTTGTTATTTTGACTCAGAGTTTTTTGGAATGTCATGCAACTGTTAAGTATAATTTTTCCCTAAAATTAAAAAATCTAAACTTAATTCAACAAGGTTAAGTACCCTTAAATCACGTTATTTGTGATATGCATGTGTATCATATTCTGTAGATTTTATCGCAATATTTTAACTACTATACCGTGCACTCTGAGTTTTAATCGCTATTAATTGCTGCTGAACAAATATAGTCGTGGTGGTGGTTGAGCAGAATTGATACTCGGCAATGGTTTGACATTTGAAGATACAGCATACAAACAACCTCACAATGCAATGATTTGCAGTAAGAGAGAAGCATTTATTTTCAATATATCCAGATCTGAACAGTATAGGTTGCCTTTAAGATCAAGTTATTATAACTAAACAGTATTTTAAAAACGATTTAATGCAAACAATCAAATACAGACACCTTCCAAACTTTGTAAGGGTCTGATGTAAATAATGTAGGAACTGGTTTTAAGTAACTTTCAATCAAAAAGAACTAGAATTCCCACGTGCACTAGTGCAAGTGATGAATTGCAAAGCACATTTTATTCAAAGCCAAATACAACGACGGTCAATTTTTGGCTGGTGGTTTCTTCTGATATGAGAGACAATAATTACTCAACAAAAACCAATTAATTACAAAGCGTAAGGACACAACACATGGCACCCAACGGTCCAAAACAACCAAGCCACAATATTAAACTGAACGATCATGACATACTCATAAAAACGACCAAAAAAAGAATACTAATGTAAAACTTCGTGGAAACAACAGAAAATATGGGGGCATATACCTTCTGAACATCACGTATCTCTGCCATGCCATCGTCAAAAGCAAGTAGCATTCTGCGTAGACGCCCTAATTCAGTACACCACACACTGCGTAGATCCAACTTATTCTACACAACACCTGCACTAGTGTCATACCTGATTGAATCCAGGATCTTCCTCAAATGATCACGCATGGGACAGCCAGTGCTGCTCTTGCTATATTTTGCTCAACCTTCAGTAGACCCTTCGTATTTAACGGCAAACACTCCTTGCATTACGCACATGTGAAATCTTATTGAGCATTTACCTGAAGGCATACCTTGATATTCCTGATTGATTTCAAGCTTAGTGCTCTCAATTGTTCACGACTTGTGTGCATCAACGTGTGAAAATTGCAACGAAGATTAACTGCTGAAAACACAACACAAAGATTGTTGATCGCGTGTGACAACTACATATCTTGTTGCATCGCGCATCCACGACGTTAAAACTCGGGGGGGGGGGAGGGAAATCCAAATGGGTTTTAGTTAGGACTAACTTTTAGGATTTGTATCGCAACAATGTTTACTACTACTGTGCACTACACCGCTTGTTACAAGGTCACAATGGCAATCTGATCATACGTTCTTCAATTTTCTTTCTATACACGAGCTATGAGTAACATCATGTCTAACTTAACTAATAAATACCGTTCGGCTAGCTAGAAAATACTACAGTGCAAATCAACCTTCACATATTTGAAGTGAGTGACTAAAATCTTAAGCATAGCTGTTGTCAGTCTATCATTGACGATCTACGCAAATATTTAAAAAAAAGAAGAGAAAACTTCACACCGGAAATCTCAAACACTTTTACAACTCGGCCCGTTTACGATAACGATACGACTGTTTCTAGTTTGAAATCTAATAGGGGATGTTTATTTCCGGTTTTAATGATCCCGATGACAGTCACACAAACTAGTGATAATCAGGTGCAGAACTCCTTACTGACTTGGGTCACCTATCACTTCAGCTCATTAATACTAATAATTAATAATGACCCGCGGCAAGCACTGACAAGCAGATTTTATCCATCGACCAATTCAATATCGCAAGACCAGCAGAACTGGCTGCCAAAACGGATATCCGACGAGAACGCAGTTTTTTCTCGTTCTTGTGATCACAGATGCTGTGCTTGAAACAAACTCGAACGTTGGCTGCACACTTATTTATCAAGAAACATAAGTCCGTCGTTCCATTTCCATTCTTCTGGCATCACGTTACCACCCAAGATGTGGTTTCTCAGCAACATCAGAAACGTGTTTATACTTTCTTCCCAGTGCCGTTTCATAACCTTCTATTTGACATGATTAGGGCTTTACATTCCATAATGCTAAATGTATGTATTTACTAGATGCACACCAATGCAAACATACTTAAAAAAAGTAACATTTCACTTTGGCTCCTAGCTCATCAGTCTATTTGAATCATATTATGCTCTCACTGTAAGTGTAAAAAGTTTAAAGTTGCCTCTTGGGCGTTTGATACGTGCCGTCAGCTCCAGCAACATCTATTATACAAGTCCAAAATTTACAGACATCAACTCGTGACTACCCAGTCCGCTCATCAGGGGGAGAAGAGGAGGGTCACCTTGTTTATCTCTGCTGAAGCCACAGCATTCGAGCCACAGGCAATCCTTTGGTACTGTCCGGTAATAAACGACGCTGTCTTCTCAGTTCTAGCATCCAATACCCCTTGAAACGACGTGGTCAGCCAAGTCATCAACTTTCGAGAAACAACTGTAAAATAAATAGCAAAGAAGTGCGTCCTTTAAACGCTGGTCTCGACAACAAATGAGGAACATTATGCTACCTGTAGACCATGGTGGTGTCGGGTGGGGCCAAAATTACCGAGCCACTTGTGGGTGCTAGATAGCTATCACACAAGATGTGCTCGGAATCCACCACACATGGGCCACCATCGTCTACTAGCATAACACTGCTTGGCCCACCTCTGAAAATGTGATGTCGCTGGAGCTTTGCTCAGACTATCTGCGGCAGTCTTCGTACTGGACTGGCTGAAACTGTAACAGACATTTCAGAAGTACCTCTGTGTAACCTTTGCCGATCCTGAAAGTGATGAGAAAAGTTGACAAGATGTCTGTGAGCTCACACTACTGCCATGCCGGAATCTCCACCATGCCCAACCGCAGGCAACACCCGCTCCCATGAGCAAAAACAGCTCCATATCCTGAGGGCGTTTATATACCTGCACACAGCCTGACCACGCTCTCCCTTCCTGACGACGCCGAGGGCAGCAAGTTCATCGTAGCGGCCATTTCGGTTTTTACTGGAACACAAGCACTGCATTCCTGACAGATACCTTCGTCGCATGCACTTCCAAATCCTCCAGGTGGCGCTGTCTCGGATGCCCCGATCTCGACACCAAGGCGCGGGCCACCAAATAAATGACTGCATACCTTTCCTGGTATTTGTACCTTCGTCTTCGCTAGCCCGCCTGCTGCCCCCTTTTTGTTTAGCACTACCGAGCATGATACCTGTTCACGTTCTATTCGTCTCACTATCTTCCGCTACGACATTGTGCCCAAGGTGACCTCCGTGCCGTTACGACTGATGTTCCGCCAGTTCGCACTGATTTCAATGAACGAGAGAAACGGTTATAAACATGTGCAATATTCCTCAGCACTTTTTCTCAACACTTCTGACACAAATTTACGGTAAAGAAGGGTAGTCCGAAAGGGTAACCTCATATTTTACAAGCACCGCTCCAACTCGGCATTAAGAAAGAGCACATTTGTCCAACTCAGAAAAACTGACGTGCAACTGAATGGGGGACAAAGACAGCCGCCTGAATTTATCATTACAGCACATCTACATTGGACAGGTATTTGCGGATTAGTTAACAAGCATTTCCAGTTTTCCGTTCGAGAAGCTGTTTGGGTATTCTACGCATTCGGTTCATTTCGCGGTCACATGTACCTCCACAAATGCAATCCTACAGTGGAGTTCGCAAACGGAGACGCAAGCCCTGCTTTTCCGCTGTGCAGTTTGAAAAGATGCTGATCATTCTGTCCTCTCCTCTTACCAACCGACATGCTTAAGTGCTACTTACACTGTTGCACCTGGAATACGTCACGTTAGCAACACGGAGAGAGGCAACGCCGAGAGCGCCAAAGCTCTGAACATACACGACTTTCACTTAGATATTTGGAGTACTTACAAACGAAACAATCCCCCTATATGCAGTTACGTAACAGACACCAGCCAACGAACACAGGAAACCCGTAAAAATATGCATTCAGCGAGCACTGTACTGATTTTCTACCCAGCCAGAACCAAAGCTCGTAGGTGCTAATAATTTGCACAGATTATTGTATCATATCACATACATGAGATAAGACCTTTGAACAGAAAGCCCTGCGTGGGCAAATCTTGTGTAAGTACCCCATACGTATAACACATTGAGTGAGATGTAGCTGTTTTATCGACGTACCCACACCAGAAAACCAGTGAACCTGAAATAGTGCTGCTGAAGCAACCGCAGAGCCTGAACACAATGACAGACGTGAATTTATAACCTCTATTTCATAGTAGGAAAGGATTTCATGTTCGTGGGTCGGTCAAAGCTATGTGACCCTTTCTCCCGACGGGTATAAAATAGTAACTCTAGTACTCCCAGTAAACCGCTCAACTTGCACCTACCTGCCACAAACATTATGTCACCTTCCTATTGGAGGAGAGCCTGCATCTGTGGAGAGTCTGTCATCGTGGAGCAATCACCGGCACCACTGTCTGTGTGCGCCTGCTCTGGTGTTGTCTCCATTGACACAGAGTTTTGGAGGTCTTCTTTCGCCTGATGATCTGTGGATTTTTGGTATGAAAGTTCACGCAGTCCAGTAGTCGTTTTAGTACATACATAGTCTAATAAAAATGTCTCATGAAATGCAAGGACAAACTAGCAGCATGAACTTCTGGTATTACGTTAAAGTTTAACCAACGTTTGCCACACGTGAATTATTCACAGTCACAGATTTGGTTCCATCCCACCACCTATGGTTGCGATGGCTCTATAATTTACCATTTTATTAGTAGGCAAGAACTAGATGCTATTTAATAACAAACCTTATTACATTTAGTGCAGGGCTATAGCTCATTGAAAATAATGGTCCCTAAAATCTGCATGGGCCAGTGTTGCAACAACTCTAGAGCAGTCTTTGCATAGATAACTTGACATACCATTACTATTATCTGCATCTTTGATGCCTAAAGCTTCATCTCTCTCTTTGCTCTCTCTCTTCTCTGACTCTGCGCGTTTCTCTGGCTCCCGTTTCTCTTTATCCTGAGACTGACTTCTTGATCTAAAAGATACAAGAACATTAATACAATTACATCTCATTAATTACTCACATAATTAAACACACACATTAAAAGCATACACTAGTGATCATAGTTATTATAGTGCAGTTACTTTCATCCTATTACCACTAATATTAACTAAATGGTAATACATTTACAATAATAATATAGTAATTAGTAGTGATGTCAATCGGTTGGACCCAAGTAACCGATGATCGGTTACAATCGGTTACTCGGGGTGTTGAATGCCTGCGTTTGCGTAACGTCGTGTGCATGTACGTGTGTGCATGTATGTGCTTGTTTAGCCAGCGTATAAAATCCCTAGTGTTTCCTAGGCTTTAGCCCCTCAACAGGAAGTAACTACGGCGAATGTCGGGTGATTCCCGAACTAAAATAGCGATGATATCTCTGATTCTCGTCCCTTTTCCAAGTTTTATTGTTCAAGTTTTACATTTATTTCAATTTTTTTCTTTTTTTCCGATGAAATCAATTATGGATTTTGATAATCAAGCGCTTGATTCGAGCCACTGTTCAACCGATGATCGAGTATAATCGATGATCGTGACATCACTAAGCGCTTGATTCGAGCCACTGTTCAACCGATGATCGAGTATAATCGATGATCGTGACATCACTAGTAATTAGTAAGTAATATATTACTCCTATAATACAAGAGTATTATTCGTTCACTCTCACTAACGAAAGTGTGATGTTCATAGTAGGGCTGTATAGGACTGCGTACACTGAAGTAAAAGACTGGCCAGCAATCAACGTACCGCTTGTCTTCGTTCCTCTGTCCGGAATGTCGTCTGTCGCGCGAGTGCGAGCGGCTGCGCGACCTGTGACGCGACCTCCGTTCCCGCGACGACGACCGATGCTTCCGCGCGCGTGACTTCGAGCCGTCGCGGCGATGGCGTGACCGATCCTGCCGGTCGCGCGACCTTGACCTCCGGCGATCGTGCGACTTTGACGACCTCCGCCGCCGATCGCGCGACCTTGACCTGCGCCGGCGGTCCCGCGACACTGAACTTCGGCGGGATCGCTCCCGCGATGACCGGCGCCGTTGCTCGCGCGACCTCGATCGCTCGCGCTCCCTGTAAGCCTCCTTCGACTTCGACTTCGACTTCTCCCGCTCTTTCGACGGCTCTCCGCCTTCGTCCCCGTCGGATTTCTCCGCCGCCGGCGCCCCCTCGCCGCCGTCCGTCTGCGGCGCATCCCGACCCCGCGTCGTCTCCTCGCCGCCGCCGCCGCCGCCTCCCTCGCCGTCAGCCTTCTCCCGCGAGCGCGAGCGGTCCGTGTCGTCGTCGCCGCGTCCGTGCGACCTCGAACGCGACCTTCCGCCGGACTTGCGGCCGTTGCGCGCGGCGGCGCGGCGTGCGTGCTCGCCCGACCGCGAGCGGCGGCGCCGGTGGTCGCGCCCGCCTCCACCGCGCTGCTCGCGACTCCTGCTGCGCGAACGCCCCCTCCTAGACGGACGAAAACAAGATGCAAATTCAGTTGTGGTGGGGTGGCTGGGTACAGTGGGGTGGCTGGTTGGGTGGGTGTGGTGGGTAAATGGGTGTAGTGGGGTGGATGGGTTTAGTTGTGTGGGTGGGGTGGGTGGGTATAGTGGGGTGGCTGGGTGTGTAGTGGGGTGGCTGGTTGGGTGGGTGTGGTGGGTAAATGGGTGTAGTGGGGTGGATGGGTTTAGTTGTGTAGGTGGGGTGGGTGGGTATAGTGGGGTGGCTGGGTGTGTAGTGGGGTGGCTGGTTGGGTGGGTGTGGTGGGTAAATGGGTGTAGTGGGGTGGATGGGTTTAGTTGTGTGGGTGGGGTGGGTGGGTATAGTGGGGTAGATGGGTGTAGTGGGGTGGCTGGGTGTGTAGTGGGGTGGGTGGGTAGGTGGGTGAATTGGCTTACCTGTGTGGGTGGTTGGATGTAGTGAGGTGGATTGGGTGGATGGGTGTAGTATATGTAGGATATGTTCATCCTGGAGACTACAAAATATATAATACTAACCGAGATGCAACACCGAATACAATCACTAAAACAAAGATTGACGCTAATTTCTGAAATTCAACATCTAAAAAATGGTTTTTAACAGATCGGTGGCGATCCTGTCACGAGAGAATGAGTTGTCTATGAGCGTCACCTGCCACGGGACCTGCTGTCAGATCGCTTCCTCTCTCGCGATCGCTCCTCGTCTCTCTGCTTCTTCTGCTCCTCCCGCTCCTTCTCCAGCTCCTTGTCTCGCTCGTCTCTCTGCTTCTTCCGCTCCTCGTCTTGCTGCTGTCGCTCGACATCCCTCTGGTGTCTGCGCGTCTCGCGTTCCTCGTCCGGCGCGTTTCTCTTTCTCTGCAAGTTCGAGAGCACACGTCGCAGCAACGGCCAAAAAACGGAAAATTCAACTTCGGGGAGCGAGAAACAACCATGTAGGACCTTGCATCGACGTGCAATGAATACAACATATCCGAGACAAAACACATACAAAGCACATCCGGCATGTCTGGTGCGTGTCACCTTGTAAGCCTAGAGTTGTCAACTGCTCGCATATTATTATTATTACTATTATTAGTGAATTCGTTCGCTTACGATCATTTCTTCCACTGTGGCGCGGATCCTGGCGTATCCGACGTGCTGCTTGCCCATTAGATGGTCATCGATGCGAGATTGTGCGTCGCCGACGATTAGAAAGGCACCGCAGATCTTGCACACTTCCATCTGCTTCTCCTGCGATGTCGCTATCTCTGCCGTCTGCGTGGATGCAAGAGAGGCTGCGGTTAGTCAGTCCACCGTACAAAGGCCTTACTTATGTGTGCAGATCACTGAATGCACTCTCTGCCATATATAATTAATATTCTCGACTCTCCACAGATTTTAACTTGCTAGGGATGCCATTACTCGCTAAATTACTATTAGACATCTTCCTACCCCAAGCTCCTTCGATAGCCTTACCATTCTCAAGCTTTCTCTCTCATCTTTTAACTGTTCACAGAGCTTCATTACTCCCTGTGCCTCCTCAACTTTGCCTTCTAAGCCCAGTTGTTCTGCCTGCAACAATAATTGCATTTCACACCACATTGCTTTCGACTCGTTGATGTGTTTTCAATTAAGTTTGCAGAGATTGTTAGAGACTTCACAATTATCCACAACTTTTCAAAACTAAATTTGGACAAACATTGAAAATAGGATAAGATTTAAAAAAATTTATCAGCTCATTTTAGTGTCTGTAAATATGGTATCATTTTAAAAAGGAAACTTTTCTACAAAAACTGACACACTGACAGATGTTTTTACTGAAAATATACCTGTTGAAGTAATCCATTAACCTTCTCAGATAGCATGCCAATTTTTTCTTCATATTTGGCTGGCATTGCATTATTAGGCTGTAATAAAGTAGAATAATACAATCATCTAAAATTTATATTACTGTTTCTATTCAAAGAATGGTACAAAATTAACTAATGGCAAATAGGTATTATTCAGATACAACATTCAGTTCCTCAATGCCTTATTATAACTGACGAAAAACAAGTCTTTTTATGCACATTTACCTTGCTTTATAAATTGTTTATTGTGATGCAATACTGTAAGCAAAAAATATATTAGAAACAGATTTTTCGTAAAACAAAAAAAACGTCGATTTTTCTTTCTACACACGATCAATCGTATAAATCATCCGACGCATGGGAACTTACGTTGGTTTTCTCCGCATTAAATGACAGCCTCGCTTCGCCTCGACGAATGCGTCTCTCGACATCATTTAATATTCCCTGCAAGAAACGCAGAAACTCTTCTGCATATCCCATACGTTGGAATCGAGACGATGTCAGATACCTGTAATAACAACACATCCTATATATAGAAAATTCCCAGACAAACCATGAATCTTGTAGTAATTGTAAACCTTACGTAAGCCTCGTACTAAATACTACACATGCCAAAATACTGTCACACGTTTACACTCTATATAAAACATTATTACACAATTAAAATATTACCCAACTAGGAGAAATAAATAAGGATAGAAATTAAATTATGAGGCTAATAAATGATAGCAAACATTATGTTAAGATAGCAAGATTATATTATCAAGCTCTACTTACTCTTTTCTTAAGGCTTCATCATGTATTTTATCACATGGACCTAGAATATATTCATTCAGATGTATGGAATTGATTAAATAGGTTTAACAAATAACTTCTGCATTTGTTTGTAACAATGAAGTTGAAAAATATGCATAATTTGATGTCTCCAAATGGCTAATTAGTCAAAACTAAAATTTAAACTGATATCCATAATTCATGCTTCCATGGCATATTTACAGTTCTACTTACCAAGATCAGCTCTTGTGTTTACAAACAGCTCATGAGGGCAAAACCCACACAGGTATCTCTTGCAAACCTGTGATAAAATGATGTAAAAAATGTGTACATATGTATGATCATTTTGTGAGTTTTTAATATTTACAGCCTACAGTACATTAGTTAAATTCATACTGCAAACCTACGCTAAAGCAGATAATTCGGATCTTGTTGAACTTTCGCACTAAATTAAAAACTATTATAACCTGTTACAAAATTTCGAAGTGACGAGCGGCAATATTTCGAGCGCCATTTCTGTTGACCTGTGACGTACAGATTCCCAATGCGCATAGCGTTCGGCTAACTTCGGCTCCAAGATCAAATGTATCATGGGATGCCAGCTGTCAGTCATGACGTCATGACGAAGTTAGCCGAACTCCAGGCTATGTTGAAAGCAACCAATTCTGATCATTTTAAAAGGTCAATTTGTAAATTTCAAAGAGGAATGTAGCTAAAGCTGATGTTTTGACTAACGTATCTAAAATATATATTATGAGTATGATAACTAATAAAACATTGTTTACAAAATTGTATATACTATCAGTATATAATTATAAAAAATAATATAGTTTTTAATATTTCCGTTCCAGTGCATCGTACTTCAGAATACGTTGAAGCCGGGCCGTGACGGTTAGAGTTAGGATTAGGGTTAGGGAGTAGGTAGCTCTAGTACTATAGCCCGCGTTCATTAACTGCCGCAGGGCTATAGAACATTGTCAGCTCGATTTCGCTGCCGCGCAAACTTGTTACAACCTGTCCCCACGAAAAATGAATTGCAAAACGCAAAATGATCGGGCTTTTTAACACTAATTTATCTATATGGACATCTCACCTATCTTTTTGAACACCTATCGTTCATTAACTGCCGCAGGGCTATAGAACATTGTCAGCTCGATTTCGCTTCTGCACTTGGTCCCCCGATTGGTTCCACGAAAAATGGCTCAGAAAACGCAAAATGATCGGGCTTTTTAACACCTATTTATCGACGTGGACATCTCACCTATCTTTTTGTACACTTTCAACAACTTTACACCATGTATTTATCCTTTTATTACTCAAAGTCAGCACTACTGTCATTCCCGTTTGAAATATTCTGGGGTGCGAACGCGTGACATCACCGGATATGTAGGCAAAACACATGGCAACTATGGTGCATCTATCGTACAATACCGGTGATGTCACGCGTTCGCAAAGTTGTGGAAAGTGTTCAAAAAGATAGGTGAGATGTCCATATAGATAAATTAGTGTTAAAAAGCCCGATCATTTTGCGTTTTGCGATTCATTTTTCGTGGGGACAGGTTGTAACAAGTTTGCGCGGCAGCGAAATCGAGCTGACGATGTTCTATTACACTGCGGCAGTCAATGTACGCGGGCTATAGTAGTAGAGCTACCTACTCCCTAACCCTAATCCTAACACTAATCCTAACCCTAACACTAATCCGAACCCTAATCCTAACCCTAACCGTATCAAATAGTGACCAGGGTACGTTCCGGCAGTAACCTGGGGGACATAAGTCGCGGTCATGGTTTGGCTCGAGCCAAATGGGCTAGATTTGGCTCGGGCCGGTTTGAGTCGGCGCGTTCACACGTACACAAGTGAATACTGTCTGTCAAATTCAAATTCAAATAAATTTTATTGCACAAATATCTCACAGATACTTTGGCAGTATGTCGCGAGATGGCATTGTTTACGATTTAGAGTGTTTACTTACGTTCCTAGTTTAATTATCAATCTTGAAAACGTGCATCCTAATCTAATTTTTCTAATTTTTATACTGTTTTGGACTTTATTTTGTCGAAGTACACGTTCGACACTCGCGGCATCTACCGCTCAACCGATTCTACCGCTCTACCCCTCGCCGAAAGCTGGTGCTAAAATTTGGCTCGGGCCTGGTCCGACGTTTCGATGGGACCAAATCTGGCACGGGCTTAATTAGGCTCGAGCCAAAAACGTCCGTGTGAACGCTCGGCTCGAGCCAAATCTGGCACGGGCTTAATTAGGCTCGGGCCAAAAACGTCCGTGTGAACGCTCGGCTCGAGCCAAATCTGGCACGGGCTTAATTAGGCTCGGGCCAAAAACGTCCGTGTGAACGCGCCTATAGACCCTATGACTATGAGCCACAGTGACAGTGGCAGAGTAAGAATCTGCGACTGCGATTTATATTCAATATTCACATCACGACTCGTATTATGGTCGTCTGTATACATTGTCTTTAGGAACAGAATACATAATAATTGCTAAGTATTATTAATTAATATTATAGTCAAGATACCTCTGCGTCATCCCAACGCAGTTCTTTGGATTTTTCATCACTTGCAAGATTTCTATTTCGTCCCATAAGTTCATCAAGTAAAGCGGCGGCAGCCTTCGACGCCATTTTTGATTTTGCGTACTTTGGCGTCAACAGAGAAAAGCCGAAATACGGTATGTTTATTTTTACTGTGATTACTATTATTACATTTAGTAATAGTATTTGACATGGGTATTAAATACTTTGTTTAATATAATATTATTGTAACAATTAATCATGTACTTATGTTGTTATTAACAGTTCGCTGAAGTTCGTGTCTTTACGAACAACACGAACGTTGCGCAATTTTGTGAACACGCATGCACAAGAACATGTGACGTCGACTCGTTACACGCGGATATAGTCGGATCATTGACCAGCGTTTGTGAAATCGCGTTGTAAAATTCGCAGCTGGTTTTACATCTTATTCGGTTTGCCATGGATCCTACCGATACACAAAAGCATGAAGTCAACAACTGGGAAGACCGAGGAGACCTCGAGCCGGGAGGAAACGGCGATCCCGTAGAAAAGCTCACAAAGCCATTTTCCGGCTCGAGCTTTGGTTTCAACCCCGATGCTGCGCCATTCGTGCCTTCATTTGGCAGTGCCCAACCTCAAAACAACATTGTCCAGAATGCAGAAAATACTTCAGGTAATTTGAAGTGGCAAAATCATAGCGTAATAGTCGGGGATATTTTATCTCGATATTGCATCAATTATCTTGTTGCAATAAACATACGATCTGGTTATATTTCATTATTTGCATGATCATGATGCAATGACTGTGAGCTGGGCATGCGTTTTTTTGCGGTTTCTTTAGTTCAGATTCAGTTATTGTGCTCTCTGTTACACGACAGCAGATCTCAACCCAAAAATTATTCACTACAAACCCATATAATTACTTCCAGTTCAGAAGAAAATTATCTGCAGCAGAATCTGCACATGTTAATCTCGACCACAGATGTTAGCTCCACCACATAGCACCTGACCTGGTGCCACCAGATTAAACAAAACGCAGTGGCTACGCGTCCGGAACCGGTCGCCTAGCCTCCAGGCTACGCACCCGGAACCGGTCGCCTAGCCTCCAGGCTACGCGTCCGGAACCGGTCGCCTAGCCTCCAGGCACAACGCACACAGTGATCGCGCGACTCGCGTACACGCATGATTGCGCAACAAGACGCTCTGCTGCCATCTATCCTTTCATCCGTCCTCTCTCGCTCTCTCTCTCTCTCATGCATACACACACACATTCCCTTTCTCTCTCTCTCTCTCTCTCTCTCTCTCTCTCTCTCCTCGTCTCTCTCTCTCTCTCTCTCTCTCTCTTGTCTTCTCTCTCTCTCTCTCTCTCTCTTCTTCTCTCTCTTCTCTCTCTCTCTCTCTCTCTCTTCTCTCTCTCTCTCTCTCTCTCATCTCTCTCTCTCTCTTATCTCTCTCTCTCTCTCTCTCTCTCTCTCTCTCTCTCTCTCTCTCTCTCTCTCTCTCTCTCTCTCTCTCTCTCTCTCTCTCTCTCTCTCTCTCTTCTCTCTCCTCTCTCTCTCTCTCTCTCTCTCCTCTCTTCTCTCTCTCTCCCTCTCTCTCTCTCTCTCTCTCTCTCTCTCTCTCTCTCTCTCTCTCTCTCTCTCTCTCTCTCTCTCTCTCTCTCTCTCTCTCTCTCTCTTCTTCTCTCTCTCTCTCTCTTCTCTCGCTCTCTCTCTCTCTCTCTCTCTCTTCTCTCTCTCTCTCTCTCTCTCTCTCTCTCTCTCTCTCTCTCTCTTCTCTCGCTCTCTCTCCTCTCTCTCACACACACACACACACACACACACACAGGGCATCAGCCAGAGCGTCCCATTGCGCAATCATGTGTGTACTTGTCCCAAGCTCACTGTGTGAGATGGATGTCCGGACGCGTAGCCACGGCATAAACAAAATTATTTACATTTTCTTGGCTGCTGTACCAATTTATGGCATCAAGCGATCTTTTAGTTAAAAAAAGTTACAGGCGAAGGGTGGACAGCAGCATTTGTCGGTTTTGTTAGGCATGGAGTATCATGTCGTAGTATCATGTCATGGCAGCCAGTTTACAGAACAATAGATAAACTTTTGTACCACAACTTATAATACTCGATAACCGATAACATAGTCACGATAACATACACCGATGATACTGTTTCACATCACTTCCAAAAGCACTTGCAATATGCGCAATAATGCTTATTTGGTTACAGGAGAGACAAATACAGTGAGAGAATCGTCACCACCTGCGGCAGCATCGCTAACAGATGGAGGCGCTGGAAGAGAGGGTGAGCACGAAGCTGGTCGTAATGTAGGAATTTATATTGCTTGTATCTAATTTCTTGAGAAAAATAGGCCTGATTTGTGCTCGGGTGCATTAATTTACTTTTATAATCGATGAGAAGTCGGTTATAATTATGTCATACACTTACTTATCCAGATATTACTGTATTACTTATCCAGATATATTTTGGACTGTTTTTTTTCTGTCATAAACTGATAGATTTAAATAGGTGATAGAATCAGGCATTGGGTTGTGCACATATCTTATAAGATTAGCCTATGTTAGTAGTTTGTAATATGTTAATGTTCTTGTATGCTCTATTTTGCAGACTCTCCTGTGAGCAGTCAAGATGATGCAGGTACATTTCTTGCCTTGGCTTGTATATATGTGATTATAATTGAATAATATGAAACAGCAGTTCTGTTATTCATAGATAATTGTTTACATATACATGTGCACGTTCTGATGTAGCTACTGGCACATTTCTAAAGTTGGAAATTTTTTTAAATATCGACATCAAAGCTTGGCAGTCGGACTCCGTAAACCAGTTATCCTTTATCACATTTGTCATGCCCGAGTTATGTTTTTCCATTCACTTTAGTTTTCTCCACGAAATAATCTATACTTTGTCCGCATCTTCCGCGCATCTTCGTAAAACCACGTCTGCACGAACGACTGCTCTGCGCATGTCTTCACATGATTGTCCATGTGTAGTCTTCGAAGTAAAACGCGCGTAGTAAAAAAATCACTGGCGCGTCCCGAGGAGGCGACTACGCGTAATTGTCCACAAGTAGTTAAAAAAAAAAATTAAACGCCTAGAAAAAATCGCTAGTGTTTCCCGAGATAAGTCGTGATAAGTCGCGCGACGAGACGACGAATCTCACGCGCTGATCTTCTCGCGTTGTTTTTGTTTATAACTCACTGGGCAACTTTCGGTTATGTGATATGTTTGATTCTATCGTTGTGTCGCATTTTAATTGTAACTATTTTTGATTAAGGATCACGTTATTTTAAATATTGTATATATATTCTTAAAGATGATTTTAGTTGTAGTGATATAATTTTATGAACCAATATTTTAAGTGATATCTATGTCTTACCATGGGACATATATTATTGTAAATATCAATTTCAGTTTTATACTGCCTGATGATATCGTGTTTGCAAAAGTTATTGTATCCCCCGCGACGAAGTCGGCGGGGATACTATGGTTTCATGTCTCTCCAGCCGCCGCCGCAGACATTTCCCTTCCGCTCTATAACTCGACCCCTAATTGACCTAGCGTGACTAAACATCGTCTACTTACACATCTTGGGGAGAAGGTGCGCAGCGTACCAAAACCAGGTCACTACGACCTTTATTTGACCTTCACCTTGACCTTGATCATATTTCCCTTCCGCTCTATAACTCGGCCCCTAATTGACCTAGCACTACCAAACTTGGTATCCTTACACATCTTGGGGAGAAGGTATGTCGCGTACCAAAACCAGGCCACTGCGACCTTTATTTGACCTTGATCATATTTCCCTTCCGCTCTATAACTCGGCCCCTAATTGACCTAGCGCTACCAAACTTGGTATACTTACACATCTTGGGAAGAAGGTATGCCGCGTACCAAAACCAGGCCACTGCGACCTGTATTTGACCTTGACCTTGATCATATTTTATTTCCGCTGTATAACTCGGCCCCTAATTGACCTAGCGCTACCAAACTTGGTATACTTACACATCTTGGGGAGAATGTGTGTCGCGTACCAAAATCACGTCACTGCGGCTTTTATTTGACCTTGACCTTGACCTTGATCATATTTCCCTTCCGCTGTATAACTCGGCCCCTAATTGACCTAGCGCGACCAAACTTGGTATACTTACACATCTTGGGGAGAAGGTGTGTCGCGTACCGAAACCAGGTTACTGCAACCTTTATTTGACCTTGACCTTGACCTTGACCTTCATCATATTTCCCTTCCGCTCTATAACTCGCCCTTAATTGACCTAGCGCGAGCAAACTTCGTATACTTACACATCTTGGGGAGAAGGTGTGTCGCGTACTAAAACCCCTAAGGCAACCAATTTTAACATACTTGCACATCTCAGGCAAATGAGTTGTGTAACAAACCTTTGTCTTTGCGACTTATTTAACTTTACCTACCTTCTACGTCCTTACAGAGATATTTCATTCATACTAGATCACGGGGGATACATGTAGTTGGCGACAACTGCCCTTTCTAGTTTTAATTGTAACGTTGTTAATACTAGTTTTGCAATAAACCTATTATCTATCTATCTATCTATCTTGTTGCTCCGCGCAGCTGATTCGTGGGAGGCGCAGGCTGAAGAGAGCCCGGCGAGCACGCCGGAGGACGAGGAGGAGGAGGAGACGAGCGATGCGCCGCAGGGAGAGGGCGTGCGCGCCCCGCCGAAGCCGAGGAAGAAGCACATCAGCAACGAGCCGCTCGTGAAGAAGGAGCACATCAACGTCGTCTTCATCGGCCACGTCGGTGAGCGCGCGCGGGCGCGGCGCGGCGCGGCGCGGCGGTCCAAAATCAAGAAAAATCGCGATCGCCCTCCTTAAAGCCGTAATTTCGAGAATTATCTTGTGTTTCCCCCACTTTTATGATACACACCGTTATTGCTTGAGTAACAAGTAGTGTTTTTCAAGGTAATGTAATGAGTGATGTATCCGCTGTGAGGTCAGACTATATTTCGCTATATATTTTTCGGATTGAGCGTTTCTGAGCAAGAATCTCACAAATATAGCTTTAAAAGACGACAGTCAAAATCTACTTTTTCGTAGATGTATTGGGTTCTGCTGGGTTGAATGTGCAGGATGTACGATGTACGAAAAAGTTTTCATCAGGGTTTTTTTAAGGGTCTGGATGTGTCTATTGTTGATATTATTGAGTGTCAAGTGCTTATTTTTAATATTGAGTGGTTTGCTTGTTGCAGATGCGGGTAAATCTACTATTGGCGGGCACATCATGTGAGTGGTCATTCCTAGTTAAATCTCTATAGTGTAAGGGTTTTTGCCATGAAAACTAAACCCTACCGTGGCTGCCGATTTGTCTTGGCTGTGATTGTGTGCTCTCATAGCAGGTCAATGAGTGGGAAGTGACAGCTAGACCATTTATTAAGCAGGGTGTTACCTTTCTTGCTGTGAGGTGATGAATGGAAATACAGTTATGCTTGTGGCTCCTGCAGGTATCTTACGGGGATGGTGGAGAAGAGAACGCTAGAGAAATACGAACGAGAGGCGAAGGAAAAGAACCGAGAGACATGGTAAGAGGCACGTTCAAATTAGAGGGGTGGAGTAGGCACTTTAAATTCTTTGGGCCATTACGTTGGCCATATGCACAGGCACTTGATATCCCGACTCAACACATTTGTATGGGCATGGATGCACAGTATGCTCACATGCGTCCTTGCATAATGTTGGCATTCAGGCATACAGATACACAGTATGCATGGTCAGACGCATTTATGCACACGGACGCACACGCGAGGCATAATACTCGTCGCACACACATATGCATGCGTACATACATATACATACAAAGCATTCATAACACACACGACCAGAGCTACTGAGCAGTTTATTACTTTAAGTATTTATAATGTGAACATTTACGTCACACTTTTGATGCATCGCTCCAATCTCGTGTAGGTTTTGCAGAGAATATTTCATACGCATCGCTGACAGCGGTATAAACCCTGAACTCGATTATGATGATGGTTTTTTTAGGCTTAGAATTACCAAGCAAGTAGACTCACTATGCCGTGTAATTATATTGACGGAGCGTAAACGTTCCGATTGGCTGATGCAGGTACCTCTCCTGGGCCCTCGACACCAATCAGGAGGAGCGAGACAAGGGAAAGACGGTGGAAGTCGGCCGCGCGTTCTTCGAAACTGCCAACAGACACTTCACGATCCTCGACGCACCGGGCCATCGGAGCTTCGTGCCCAACATGATCGGTGGTGCTTCCCAGGCCGACTTGGCCGTCTTGGTGAGTCGAATGGGAGCGACAAGGAAAAGGAAACTCGTCTGCTGGGTTGTAGTGGTTATGATTTATGTAGCCGTGCCCGCAACTGTTTGCTGTGTCAGCCTGTGTGTGTTTTAATTTCTCATTGGGTCTGCTTATTTGTGGGTTTGCTTGGGTTTAAGATGGTAGCAGACTATGATTTACACATATCCTTGAGCAACTATTGATTACAATTGCTGCATAATGCATTTCATTTCTCACTGCAGAGAAGTGATAGAATGGTCTAACCGACTCTAACGTAAATGATGATTTTTTGCCAAGTTGTAAGTAGAAGATAATTATTGGGTGCACTAATGGCCTCCACGTTGTAGTGCATAATTTTGCATAAAACGTACTTACATTCCAGGCTTACCTTGTTATCTTGATCCTCGTTGTTGTTTCCTATCTCGTGTTTGTTATCAATAATATCATGTATAAGTACATACCTGTAGTGCTTGTGTGCGTACAGGTCACAGTCGAGTAAAAAAGTGCGGAGAAGCTATCTAGAGTTCTCACAAGAGGGCACTGCTATAAAAATCTATAATTAATATCAGAGGCCATCTACTGTGCACAGTTGCTGTGTTATTATTGAAGAATTAGACATACTGATATAACTAACCAATCATATTAGGGTAATTGCATTTGCATTTAATTTGGTGTGATTTTAATAGGTATTTGCAATGTCTGACACCACAGGTATTGTTACAATTATCATGATACTAGATATTAGTGTGGATAATTTTCAACAGTCTGTGATGATCAAGTTATCCCTGTCTGATATTGGAAATATCTGTGGAAGACTTACTTCTGAGACTCATTTATATATATAGTAAAATTTGCAATTTTTTATTCTCAAAGTATCTTCATTCTGTTAGTAAATATAGTCAGATTAGATCAGCTAGATTTCTCATTGTATAGAAGATATCTGAAATAGGCAGGTATTGTCTTTGCAATTACATGTATTTCTTATATAAATCACAAATATCCAGTCACGCCTCTTCTTGGGGCAGATCATTCGAGCAACTATTTACTAGTTGGTCAACCATCGGGGTCAGTATTAAGCTGGCTGTTGTTTAGCAGTCAGGGGTCATTACAAGACACCTGTGGGAAAGCTCATTGGTTTGTGCTCTCATGTCGTGTAGGTGATATCGGCGCGCAAAGGCGAATTTGAAACCGGATTCGAGCGAGGCGGTCAGACGCGCGAGCACGCTATGCTTGCGAAGACAGCCGGCGTGAAACATTTGATAGTTCTCATTAACAAAATGGACGATCCGACAGTGCAATGGGAAGAGACAAGGTAAGTGGTGCTGGTGTTTCGTGACAGTGGTGTGTGATAAAGCAGGGAGTAGCAGTTGATGAGCACGTGATTGCTCGAGTACATTGGTCGAAGGAGCGTTGTATGAACAATTATTAGTCAAAGACTTGTTGTAATCCATTATGTTATCTATAAAATTCAAACTCCGACACAATTATACACCCTGGAACCTTTTGCTTAACTCGGGGGGCAAGGCCTAGCTTGTTGATGGCAGCAGCACAGCAGTAACAGTAGCAGCAGCAGCAGCAGCAGCATATCATTGGCGGGCGAGCACCGATGCTCTGTGACAATATTAAGTCACAATGTGTCATAAAACTAACACTGTGTTTTGCCGCTAGGTACAACGACTGCAAGGAAAAGCTCATCCCCTATCTGAAGAAGTTGGGGTTCAACCCTAAGACAGACTTGTACTTCATGCCATGCTCAGGCCTTACGGGGGCTTTTCTTAAATATCCTATAGACGAACAAATTTGCTCGTGGTACAGGTGAGTACGCAAGCTTGGTGCATCATAAGAGCCTCTATTACAGGTGTTTGTTATTATTATCATGTATGCATAGTACCAATAGCTCATAGTAGAGAAGAGTATGACACCGTTTTAACAGCGTTTTGCAGTTTTCAACTTGTAAATATTCTATCAATATGTGAATAAATATATTCAAACTTTACCTTGTTTTCGTCTATGATTCTCCCTTAATCATATGACACCACCAATTTACCTGAAAATCGTATGTGTTCTACAAAAAAGTTTTTTTAATACGACACGGTTTCACACAGTTTTCCCAAATGTTCGCATGTATTCGGCGCAAGTTTATTATTGGATTAGTGTTCTATTGTCTATGACGGAACGATGGGGGCTGTTGGGGATATTAGGCATCGAATTGTATTCAGCGTGTAGCGTTTCCAGCGTGCTAGAAATAAATGTGTGCTCACGGCGAGCTAGCAGCTGATTTTAGCTGTGTTGCCATCGTGTTCCTGATGATAAGGAAGTGAAACAAGTGCTGTTACTGTGCTTACCTAATATCCCCAACAGCCCGCAGCGTCCCGTAGTTGCAACCTGGTGCTGCCGCCGCATATCAACATGCGCCGAATACATGCGAACATTTGGGAAAACTGTGTGAAACCGTGTCGTATTCAAAAAACTTTTTTGAAGAACACATACGATTTTCAGGTAAATTGGTGGTGTCATATGATTAAGGGAGAATCATAGACGAAAACAAGGTAAAGTTTGAATATATTTATTCACATATTGATAGAATATTTACAAGTTGAAAACTATGCAAAATGCTGTTAAAACGGTGTCATACTCTTCTCTATTATGGGCTCTTGATAGTACGTGCATCGCGATCTGATGGAATACCTTGTTGTGGTAACTGAAGCAATAGTGAGTCTGTGATGATCTAGTTATCCCTGTCTGATATAATGACACATGTGGAAAGCTTTTATACTGAGACTCCAGAATTAATCATTCAATTATACTCATTTTTTTGTAGATAGGCATGGTCCAGTTCACATACGTTATGTGAGGTTTTGACATTTTATGTGCAGGCAATGCAGTACTGTGGTCCTCACTCTCCTTGAAAACAAATTTGTTTAAAGAGGAACAATAAGCTAGAATTTGAGAGTTTACTATGTTACTCATTACATAAAAATTGGTATAACCCTACATCTTTCTGCTATCATACATTTGTTGATAAACATCAAAACTTAGCTGTTGTCCATACTGCCATCACACTATGCGAGGGCCATCGACTGTTATATTACTTATAGTGAATATTTAACGACGAAGTTTCGCAAGTAGCATAAGTTGAATTCAATTTAGCTGAAGACGTGCAGTAAACCTAACGTGACCAACGTTAAATGAGTTGGTATTAAAACGTACGCTCTTCTCCATTTCAGGGGACCTTGCCTCATCGAGTATATAGATAGCTTACCATCGATGAGCCGACAACAGGAAGGACCAGTGCGCATGCCGATCGTAGACAGATACAGGGTGAATAAAGTGTTCCTCTAAAAATCCTCCCCCCCCCCCAATTCCTAGATACTTGAATATTTCGATTGCCACTAATTTTGATGGGCAATATTTTCCTTTAGAAGTTTGAATTTTCTGTGTGATAAACACTTTGTGACTTGTAGATGCAGGTTTGTATAAGTTATGCTATAAAGAAGTTGAAATGCAGTTGGCACTATCTTAATAGAGCTACATTCAATAAAATAGGAACTGGCTAGCCAGTGATGTGTGCATATGTAGTTTAGTTGAATTGTTATTTGATAATTATTATATTGTTATTTTCCATCGCCATTCTGCCGATGATGATTATTAAGTTATCCCTGGCTGAGGGTAATAACAACTTGCTGATACAACCAATCTGAGGCAGGAAGCACTGAATTGAGATGACCAAATATAATATTTTGAACTGATTCTTATTGTCTATGACATAGACAATAAGAATCAGTTCAAACTATGAGGACAATAGCTTTGTGCGTGTATTTTCCTAGATGTAGATTGTTAACGGTTGTTACCTGTTGTGAACTGCTGTTACCTACAGTGCTGTGCATATGTGATCAATGTAACAGTAAATCATCGTTCCCTCGAGATTTTCCATTGCGAAAGATCCCAAATGTGTTAGCTTAATTTTCATATTGGAAAACTACTAGTGTTGACAAAGGCTCGCATCTGACAGGGGTCGAAATTAGCGGTATCCCGATATCCGCGGGATAGTAGATTCTTGTGTTGGATACTAGATTTCAATGCTTGGTATCCCGCCGGGATAGTAAAAAAAAAATTGCCAAAATCGGGATAGTGGTTGTTGAGCATATTTGCAAGAGCGATGTTGATCATAAATGTGATGTGTATACATTGTATCAAGCGAACCAGACAATGCGTCTAGACAATACGTCTGCAGTGTACTTGTCTGTGCATATCTGTGAATCTGTTTTCATGTTTTTATATAATAATTACATTACATATTAAGCTGCGTTCACACGAGATTCACGGCCTCGCTGGTTCCGTACTTATCTTGTGCTGAATTCGGATGAAATACCGTGCTAACACAACCCGGAGCGTTCACAGGCTTAGCTGGCTACGTATAATATAGACTGGTAACCGTGTCGACAGTTCCACCCACTACACTAACGTCTTGTAGCGAACGGGTACCAGTATAGGTAAGCGCACTACAGTAAGAGGCCTCGAATTGCGTTCACACGACAGACAATACGCGGCCAGCGTGGTGCCGAATGTGTACATTCCGCGCCGAATAAGCCTCGTATTTCAGTACGGTACTTGCTAAGCCGCTTATAAGTCTTGAATATTTTTACCGTGTGAACGCTCGGTACGGAACTGAAATCCTCGTGTGAATGCAGCTATATTAATAATTTTCAAATGCTATTAATATTGCATAAGCTACGCTCACACGAGATTCACGGCCTCGCTGGTTCCGTACTTATCTGGTGCTGAATTCGGCTGAAATACCGTGCTAACACAACCCGCAGCGTTCACACGAGAATCGAGGCTTAGCTGTCTAGGTATAATAGTAAATAATTTCTCCGTTAGAGGGAAGTGTTTTTCATGATGGCGGCGCCCATGAAAGTCAGTTGTTTGTGGCAGTTTTTCAGTAAAATTACACAAAATGATGATCCAAATGAACATTACGAATGCTTTGGTGATGAAGAGGATTATCAAAAGGAAATTCGGAGAAATATTTTCAATGGCCTGAGCCTCAAGTGAAAAACGACACTCCGCCGCTTAGTATCAATGTAGCGCACTACAGTTTCGCGGCTTACGAGGTCTCGAATTGCGTTTACACGACAGACAATACGCGGCCAGCGTGGTGTCGTTGTTTCAGCGCGGAATCACTTTCCGCGCCGAATAAGCCTCGTATTTCAGTACGGTACTTGGGAGGCTGCGTATAAGTCTTGAATATTTTTACCGTGTGAATGCTCAGTACGGTACTGAAATCCTCGTGTGAACGCAGCTATATTTCAAGATTTTGGATACCAACATTGTTGAAATTACTATCCAAAAAATGGAATACCAGATCTTTGGGGGATACCAGATTTCAATACCTGGTATCCCGAATGGATACCATAATAAAAATCTAATTTCGACCCCTGCATCTGAGCGCGAGTGACTGACTAGGTTAGGTTTGTCGCCTTACGTTGCTACTATTTAGACTAGAGAGGGAGCTCATGCTTGTTTTTTTTCTACTGCAGGACATGGGAACAGTGGTGCTTGGAAAGCTGGAGTCAGGGAAGATTTACAAGGGACAGATGCTACTACTAATGCCTAACCGGGTAAGCAGAGAGTGTGCGGAGTCTCCTGTGATTCATCACTGTGGGTTTGTATGTGCTCCAGAACTTTAAATCTAGTGCAGGGTTTCTTATACATAAGAGGCACAGTGGCGCACTGCCATTGTCAAATTTAACATCGCAGTCTTCACGAATGAAATTTCTAAACACTGGACCTTCGGTCCACCAAGCCAGCAAAATTTACTGGACCGGACTAAATTTTACTGGACCAATATTATTTTGACATTTTTGACAATAAAGAACAAAACTTAAACAGTAATATCATTTTTTATTTTACCCCTAATAATACCTTCTACACACTGCTATGATAACAGTAGTAATACCTATCAAATATACATCAACATGCTTTCTACACATGCACTACAATATAAAGCTGCAAAATAGAAAACAAAATCTGCGTAGGTTAGTCGGTCAGTGCAGGCATGTATCACACATACCTTGCTACACACTGCTATGATAACAGTAAGGATACCTATCAAATATACATCGCATAACCTTTCTAACACACTGCTATGAAACAGTAGGATATACCTATCAAATATTCATCCTATAGCCTTCTAACACTGCTAGATACAGTAAGAAATACTATGACGTATTTGTTTAGCGATGAAACAGTTTAAAAAGTGTTATCAGTCCTTGTGCTTTGAAAAAAGCAGGCGAGTGAAAAATCAGCACACGCCGTTGGTTGCCGAGGTGTGGTGGTGTCGATTTGTCATCGAGTGCCTCGCGCAGGTTACTAGGCCAACTATAAGGGGGCTTCGCGGGCAATGGCCCCCCCGCCCCCCGCGGAAAAATTTTGAAATCTATACTTCATGAAATGCCATTTCGCAGCATTTTGGGATAAAAATTTAGCATCTGGCATTTGTCACTCGGTAAATATTCTGGACCATTTTTTAGGCGATTTTGTTTGTCAATCTAACAAAATATCAGATTATCTGAACATATTGGTGGAAAGAGCTTGAATCACACATGTTAGCATGTTTAGTCAAAAGGAACAAACACTCATTTTTCAAAGCAGGACTATTAGAAACTTTAGATAGTAATATATATATTTGCAACATCATAAATCATTCAGTCACTTAGTTTGCATTTTTTGTCAATGTTGGAAGGTATATTCAAAGTTTCATTTCAAGAAAACATACATGCTTTTTGGCCAGATAAAACTTCACTAAAAACCACATCAGCGCTCTTTAATTTCATGTTGTCATCATGCAATCTATCATCAGATTCAGTCTGCGATCTGCTGTAGCAGATTGAATAGAAGTAAACAGTCAATCACTTCATCAATGTTATGGCTTCGCGTATGATAGGCCTGGACGGTTTTGGTTTATGGTTTTGGGTTTGGTTCGAGTCAAAGCAAGTCAAAGTGCAGGCAAGTAGGCTTTGTGAGTTAACTGACGGTCCCGAGGTGTGATGTGTGTTTAGCGGTCAGTGTGTAAGCGGAAGAATACCAGAGTCAACCGATACGCGTCCCAGCTTTCCGTCCGTGTAAATAAATGCATGAGCGGATGAATTGATGTTAAAGAACTGCTGTTGTATAAAGCGTTACAACTTGTTCGTTATAAACATGTGAACCCGACCTTTCCGGGCAATGGTCCGTGATGTATTACAACCGTTTGCGTTTATCTTCGAGTTTAATAAGTTGGATTACATCGAAAAACAATACACGAAGAGTGTGTGCGCTTTTGATGATACTTAGATCGCGTTTTTTTCGCCAGCTTATTATATCAGTAAGTAGTCTCATAAATACTTGATAAATTATTTACATACTGTACACTAGAAGTGGGCTGAAAAAAAGCGGGTGGAAGCGACGGTCCATTAAACTTAGTTATAATTTAACTGGACCGGAGAGAGATTTTGGTGTCTCCGGTCGCACGGTCGCACCGCCTAAACGTCGAAGACTGACATCGCCGTTGTGAAAATGCTCTTGTAACCATTTTTAACATTCAAATTTTTAAGATTTTGCTGGGGGAGACCGCCCAGAACACCCCAGTGAGAGGAGTTCCCCCTCTCCCTCTTTCCCCCGCATCTGCCTGCAGCATCCGCATGCATGCCTACGGCACGCCTTTGAATCCACCATGCACGTTTTTTCACCAAACTGGCCATTAACTCCTTTGTCTAATTTTCCTTCAGAAGAAACCCTGAAGTGCTAACAATCTTTGAAACAACACCCTATATATTAAACTTAGAAAAAGCCTGGCCAGTAATGCCTGGAGCTCACTTCTTTTTTTCTGTTGCTGTTCTGTCGATGATGATTATTAAGTTATCCCTGGCTGAGGGTAATAACATCTTGCTGATACAACCAATCTGAGGCAGTGCAGCGGGTGTCAAAAAATGTTAAATGCATTAAAATTTCAATGTATTAAAATAATAGCATGGTTTTTATCAACAGAACATGATGGTAGAGTGGTATAGTTGCTGTTTATTGCTGCACTGTTATTTGGTCCTAATGTATTACTGTCTATTATATTAGTACATATAGTAGTACATATGTGTATATGTATGCGTGTGTGTGCGTGCGTGCGTGCGTGCGTGCGTACGTGAGTGCGTGCGTGTATATATATATATATATATATATATATATATTTATACTGAAGGTTTTACCCTAGTAATTATAGAAGGCATTTGGGTTATTGGGCAATTTATCCCCGATTGCTAATTTGAGTCAATTACGCTTGTCATAAGTGGCTAAATTACATAGAAAACATAGCATTACTGTGTTGAAAGTGTCGGAAGTAAACAACAGTTGCAAATTGGTGCGTGTTGATTAGGCAATTAAGGCTTGTCGGAGGATTTATGGGATGTCGTAAATTAGCTTCAGTTTTGAAGGCGTGTTGGGCAGGACATGCGTTAAAGGTCTGGAGTGAATCCTGATATGACAGACTACTTTAGTCTTATATAGACTAACGATTCCTATGGTTTTATTATAGACCTCGGTGGAGGTAATGACCATCATCTCGGATGAAATAGACACAAATGAAGCTGAATCTGGAGAAAATATCAAGGTCAAGTTGAAAGGCGTTGAGGAAGAGGTAAGGAGGACTGTGTAATAACCACTCCACATTGTATGTACTGGTACACACATGCGTGCGTGCGAGCGTGGGCATGTACTGGTGTTGATTTTTGTAAGTGTACTAACGCAGTGAGAGTACGTTGTTTCTATATGAAGTCCGATGTCAGAATACGAGAATCGGGAACTGACGGGACATTTTTATCTACTCTTTCAGGATGTCTCCCAAGGTTTCGTGCTGTGCACACCAAATGCACCATGCAGCACTGCCTCTACCTTTGATGCACAGGTAGGCGTGAATGACATTGGCAATGGCTAGTCATTTATCTCTGATAATAATAATAATAATAATAATAACAACAATAATAACAATAATAATATATTTACATATATTTTGTATGGTACTTTAAAACATGTTCACGTGCACATTATATGTTAGATATACGTGCATGCATGCTTCTGTCTCTTTGCATATGATCATGAAGGAGTACTAGGTGTATAGAGTAGTACTAGTGGAAGTAGTAATACACAGGATGGATTTTCAAGACTCATGACAAGTAGACGTGCTTCCATGATCCACATGTATGAATCTCTTCCACAGGTTGTGATCCTGGAGCACAAGTCCATCATTTGTGCAGGCTATAGCTGTGTGCTACATATCCACACCTGCATAGAGGAGGTCACCATCAAGGTCAGGCTTAGTCTCGTCTTCCTGTCTTTCCCACCTAGCCCCTCCCTTGTGTCTGTACCACCCAGCCTCTTCCTTGTGTCTGTACCACCCAGCCCCTCCCTTGTGTCTGTACCACCCAGCCTCTTCCTTGTGTCTGTACCACCCAGCCCCTCCCTTGTGTCTGTACCACCCAGCCTCTTCCTTGTGTCTGTACCACCCAGCCCCTCCCTTGTGTCTGTACCACCCAGCCTCTTCCTCGTGTCTGTACCACCCAGCCTCTCCCTTGTGTCTGTACCACCCAGCCTCTTCCTTGTGTCTGT